TGTCTGAGCAACAACAGTCGCGGTCAATGTAGTGCCGGGTGTAGAGCTGCGCAGGGGTTTCTGGGAAACGAGACGCGAATTGAAAAATGCTTTTATTTCTTGTCATTGCACTGTACAGCGCACTAAGAACAATTATTTATTTTCTGTGATGGTTCTAATATATATCTTTAGGTACTGTACATTCAGTATTCTCCGTAATGTCGCTTTGAACATGGCATAGAGACTCCCTTCATAGCTACATATGGTTAATTCCTTTGTTCCATCAAAATTATTTGTATAAACATGTTTTTATTCTTTCTGACTTAGAGATTTACTTTTATAACAACTATATGGATGACGTCTAACATTGATCTTGTCAAAAATACGGAAATAAATGAAATTTATTTTTCTTTGAGAAAAGTTGCCACATCGCATAATTACCATTATTATATTCATTATAACTAAGTTATGTAACCAATTGATATACACTTCTAGCACATTTTGGTAACATGGATTTTGATTAATTACACTTTACTGGTTTGGTAAATATGCGTATCTGTTTTTAGACATTTGATTTCACTGAAGTTGACAGAAGTCACTGGCAGAAGGAATTTCTTTTGTTTTAGGAAACCCGCTGTTAGTGTAATTCATATGAGTAAAAAACTACGTTGGAGGGTGTCAGTTGCAAGAAGAAAGTACCTGTTAGGAAGAAACCGGAATATTGATCTTTTAGCAGGTGGTTGAGTGAATTACCACAAATCAATATGTACGTAAGGTTGGCAAGTTAGACATGCTTTGCGGGATACGACTTTTGCACCGAACATTGACTTCAAGCTATTTATATACTTTGATTATATTGTCGTGCTGTGTCGTTAGATCATAATATATAAAAAAAAAACTCCTACTATTATGAAGCTATAGTAACTTATGATATTCTGCAATCAATAACGAACTTGAAAGCGATATGTATTTTGTTGCAAACGGTGTATGCTCTGCATTGGTAACCTTGGCTGGTTAACAGTATTATCAGTCATGATGCCGTAAATTATTTTTTTCTGATCTTAGAAATAGCTTCAATGAATTTTGCCGTCGTTTTTATACGTCAAGGGAACGCGAAAGAGAGAGAGCTTCTTTCAAGGGAAAGCTTGAGGTAAAGAATCGAACACATTTTAGTGGCAAAATCTCGTTGAATTTTATACTACAATCTAGTATGAGGAGAAGCTCGCCTGCTTGTACAACTGCGATATAGGCCAGATATGAGAATATTTCGTTATAGCTTTTTAAAACCATAGAACTGTCGCGTAAAATTAGCCTTGGTAAACGGATGGCACCTGATAAGTATTGATAAACTACTCACAAGTGACGCGCTGTCCATAACAAAAAATGTATGTTTAAATACGCATGCTTGAACTATTGTATCTAATTGCCCTCTGTTCACACAACACGTTCCTTCATTCCTGATGTCCTTCCTGTCTATCCTCTTTTTATCCTTTTATTACTTATTCCTTTTATAACGAATATTATTCCCAGTACCATGATAATACTTTTATTTGACCATCAACATATAGTGTGTATAGAAACGTGTGCTTTCAGGATATCTTATTCATCGTTATGCCGCCCTCTAACTCTCGTTCACGTGTTCGGCATGTATGCCTTTTCTCGTGGCCGCCTGCCCTTTGCTGCCAGCCTGTCACCCACCTCGTGCAGGCACCGTCCCGATCCTTTGTTCTGACGGCATCTTCACCCTCTCCTGCAGGCCCTCCATATTCGCTACCCGTGTGACACACATCCTGTCAGCGTTCTCAGGTGACATACAGTCCTGGTTAGGCGATATCCTGTGCTCTGAATAACGCTTGATAAGGATATTGTATAATTTTCGTGGGGCACCTTTTCTTCAACTCAGGTGTCATCATTAGTCGTCTTTACATGACATTTTTGAAGTCGACTGGGTGCAGCTCTGTTTTTGTCTTTTCTCTGCGTTTGCAATATGCTAGCGTGATTATTACCTTGTCCTTTTATATTATGTCCGCCAAAGGGGAGATATGTGTAGTTAGTTTTTTTTCTTTTTTTTTTTTTTTGAAAATCACTGGACTGTGGTTTATATTTATAGGTTATTTGCCAATGACCTCCTAATTAGATCTTCGTATTGATGGGATCTATGGCGAAACTGACGGATTCATTGCATGATAGAAAGTAAGTATATTAAATTTTGGAGCACACTGTCCTGAAGACCGTTTAATATTATTGTTGTTGTGATTATCATCGTTATCATTAATATAATTATTTTGGTAATTCTAGGAAGTTCGGTTATCATTATCTCTTTACAAGTTTTGTTCATTTTTGGTCTTATTATTATGTCTTTTCTGTCGTTGTTTTATCAGAATTACAAATCCACTGTTCGCTGACACACACAATGTAGTTGTGTCGGTTTACTTATAAGTTCTGAATTATTCAGTATTATCGATCTCATGATCTGACAGGGATAAGCATTTGTTGACCGTAAGGAAGTTGTACTTCTAAAGGCTTATGTATCAGTACGAGATGCCATTAAGCTTTATGCATGCTATAGTATGGGACGTCAGTGTTGAGTTTTGATGACACGATCACTACTTCTTCAATCGAAGTTATCTGTCATTCTCGCCGCAAACTTGAGGCCGTTCGTCGATTCACAGATGTCTCTCTTCGGCGTTCGGGGAAAACCTCCAAGAATACAGAAAGAGGGGGGGGGGGGGGAATTGTCTCTCTTCACTGGGTTATTCAGTGTGTTCCTCCAGCGAATACTCAGTGCCATTCACTGCAGGAACAAACAGAAAGCAAACTTTATAGAAGTTGCTGTGTTCCCAGGAAGGTTGAGCGTCCGACTTCAGAGCTGGAGGTCCAGGGAGAGCCTCACGAGCTCGAGGGCGGGACTGATGGCAGGTTTGCCTTGGCTCGAGGCACTTAGGCATGCCAAAAGCGGTGCCACGAGCGACAAGCACTTTCCCTTCACCCCAGGGAAACAACCGTCTGCTTGTTGGGGAGTGTTTATGTGTATATTTATGCTTATATATACATACATACATATATGTGTGTGATATAAATAGAATAATATATATATATATATATATATATATATATATATATATATATATATATATATGAAGGTATAAAGAAATATGAATGGAAATAAGTAAGTGAATATATATACATATATACATATATTTATATGTATATATGTAAATATATACATATACTTATGAATCTATGTATATATATGTACATATATACTCATATATATACATATATATGTATATATATATTCATATATTTTCATTTATATTTCTATATATCATATATATATATATATATATATATATATATATATATATATATATATATATATATATATATATATTCTTATATATATATATATTCTTATATATATTTTTTTCTTATATATATATATATTCTTAAATATATATATATATATATATATATATATATATATATATATATATATATATATATATTCTTCCCTCTCTGGAGTGCTAGCACTATCAAGTATGAGGCGGTACATCATAGCGGCTCCGATAACACAGTGACGAACTTTAACGGACTTTTCAAGTATCTCAGAGCGACAACTGTCACAGATAACATATTTCAATTTTTTTATTGATGGTAATAATGACAAAATAATAATGTCATAAATAACAATAATGATACCAAGAATAATAATAGCCATGATAGTGAGAATGATAACGTTAATAACTATTGTAATGCTGCCGATTCGAGTGATCCGGTTCTACGCCACGAACCCCCTTGCTTGGGGTGGGGCGGTACCTTCTTCCTCGGGCACAGGGCGGCATTCGAGTCTACACACTGGCCTCCTGGTTCTCAGCCGTGTGTGTTGATGAGGATGTAGATGATTGATGATGGTAATGATAATAATGGTGATGTGGTAGTGATAAGGATAATTGATGATAATGGTGATACTACTTCTACTAATAATAATAATAATGATAATGACAAAAGTAATGACAAAAAAAATAATAACATAATGATAAAACTTATCATAAAGATGATGGTGATAATAATAATAGTAATGATAATAAGTAATGTAATATCAGATTTATGATAATGATAATGACAGTGACGATAATGATAACGATAATCATAATGATATGATTGTGAACTTGAATAAAGACCAATATAACGAAGATGATAGAACTGACTCTAACAACATTAAGATAATATTAATAATAAGAAGGATGTAATTGGCGATAACATACAAATATTCCTAGTATTAACCAGTAACAACAAGAACAATAAAACTAATAGCAAAACAATACCCAATATTATTTTCCTTCAATTGCTGAGTAACGAAATCTGTGGCCAGGAAGCATCACCATGTGCCATCTTCTGCTCTTCTTTCGTCAGAAATTTTTGAGTACGAAAAAGATCTGCAGTAGAACATTCTTTTTTGTTGTTTCTTTTTTTGCATGGTGCTGACAAGAACACTAGTAATGCATTTAGAAGTAAAATAATAATAATAATAATAATGTCTAAGATCTATCCCGATTTTGTTCTGCTTGGAGACCTACGTCAGATACTCTAGAAAAGAGATTCACTGTTAAGGGAGTTGAAATAACACCTTAAAATCCTTGTCATAATTTTAGCATGGACTGGATAACCCAAACCCTAGGATTTGGTCTTAATGTAAGAGACCTTAGGTGTAATAAATTCGTTTCCCGATTTAATGTTCCTGAGACTACACCTCAAAATTCCCAGAACTGTTACAGGCAAGATCTAGACACTGAATGAGTAAAAGCACATTCCACTTGAGAAAAGGCCAGGGAGTGTGTGAAAACTTCATCTTTAAAAGCGGTCCCGTATTAGAGCCCTTATTTAACCTTTTATTTGCAACAAATGGCTTTGAGAAAAGAGCCCTACCTATAAATCACATTAAATGATGGCTCCGTCAATAGGGTTTCATAATTCATTACCCCAGGGCCCTGGTCAAATTATATATGTGTGTATATATA